CTATTTTTTTACTAATTAATTTTAATTTTTATCTTCTCTTCTCTCTCTAGGTGACTTTTTAATTTTCATTTATTCATTCGTTTTACTTTTTAGACTACTCAGTTTGAGTGTTTGATACATACACATAACACATTAGTTAATGACTCAATATTTTCAATTTCTCATCTGAGTCATCTCTTATATATTATGTACTTGTGTTGGTTTTTGGCGTTCGCTTGTATGTGTTTCGATTTCACTAATTTCAAGGGGTAGAAGGAGGCAACACAACTCAAGTAAGGAGCTATTTAACATATCTTTCTTTGCAATGTGACAGTGCGCCATATAAGGTAAAATCTAAAATTTAAAATTTGTTGTACATTAGGATATTCTCATAGTGTCTCTTTCAATTTATCGTTTATCGTTTGAGCCTTTACAGTTTCCTTTACCTTTATTTTCTTGACAACTCACAACTAAAATCGGGTTTTACTATTTCGACTCATTCTATTTTATATATTTATCTTTAGTAGTGTTTTATATATTCTAATTTTTTATTTCATATAAAAATATATAGATATGTCAACTAGAAAATATGAATCGGACTATTTAAAACTCCAAAAGAAAAGAAGAGTCGAGACTTTAATTTCATCATAAAAAGGAGCTATGGATAAATTTATAAAAAAAGATAAGAAAAATGAATTAGAAAATACAGGTGGGTGCTCTTTGAATGAATAAGATAATAACAATATAGACATAGGTGAAAGAAATAATAGAGTAGAGAGAGTAGTTAGTAATGAAGATAATTCTAATTCTCAAACCCATGATAGCGAAAATGAGATTGAGAGACTAGATGATAATTCTACTATTGATGAAAATATATATAATTCAAATCAATATAAGAATATTGATATAAATTTGAGAAATTTATTTGATACAATTTCAATATTAGTTGCTTCAACCGAAAGGAGTTTTTCAAAATTAAAAATAATAATAAAATTTTTAAGATTAATTATGTCTCAACAAATATTAAATGGATTGACTTTATTATCTATTGAAAAATAAATGTTAAATAAAATTAATTATGATAATTTAACAGATAATTTTGCATCACAAAAAGCTCAAAAAATAAATTTTAAATAAAACTATATACATTTTAATATAAATTATTTTATTACTAAATAAAATGCCCCATTCTTAAATTTGCTTTATGTTTCCTAATTTTTTTAGTCGTCCCTGATTAAAATGAATAGTAATAATAGATAAAAGATTATAAATAAAAAAAAGTTTATAGATGAGATATTTAAAGTGAAAAAATTAAGAAGAACTCTCTTATTTGTTAGTGAAATATTTAAAGTGAAAGATTACATGAAAGAATATGAAACCTTCACATTAGCTCATAAAATGAAGAAATCTTTCTATTGAATATGTAGAAAGAGTCTATAATTTATATTAATATTTATAATTTTAATCTTCAAAATTTAATAATTATTAAATATACTAATTTATATATTTATAAATTTAACTGTTTATTATTTTTTGATTTTTGATTTTTCATAATTATTTATTATTATTTAATAATAATAATTTTTTTATAATTATTTATTAATAATATATTATTTTTATCCAGCGAACAACTAATTTTTTAAACTAAGAGTTATCCATTAACTCTAATATATTGAGGTATTTAAGACTCATTGTTTTCAATGTTAATCTTTTTAGACTTGATGTCCCTTATATTTTAATTTCAGATATTAACATTATTTTGTAAACACATATAAAAGACGTTATGATCTGATCAACAAGTTAGATCAAATTTTAATTCTTATAAAGACTTGACCTAAAGTGAAGGAAGAGATAACATAAGATGCATGACAATCATAAAAAATTAATATTCTTTTAAATTTTATATAAATATTAATTTATAATTATTTTACTTGATAAAAAAATATTCCATAAATTCTAAATAAATTTAAGATTATATTTATAATATAAAACTCTTTAATTATACTCTAAAAATAGTTTATTTAAAAGATAATATTAAAAATCAAGTAAAAAATAAAATAAAAAGAACCATATTAATTTAAAACATCACCTAAATAAATTTGTAATTGTAAGTAAAGATATGAAAAGGAAGATGACTTGTGATTTTGAAAAAAATAAAATAAATTTAGTGAAATTTTATGAAAAAAAGTCTTTAATTATATGAAATATATTCATTATAAATTATAATGTTAATTATTGAAAATTTTGAATATATATAAATATAAAATTATTAATTTTTATAATAAAATTAATAATGTCATTATATTTATTATTTATTTAATAATTAAGATAAATTATTATTTAAAATTATTAAATAAATAAATAAATTATTTTTACATTTCTATTTTATATATATATATATATATATGTATATATATATATATATATATATATAAAGAAGAGAATTTGATATCTTCTTCTCGTCCTGGTCCCAAAACAGGTTATTCACCACTCTGTTTTATCATATCAGAATCGTGACGTGATCCTTTCATACTAAACAATTAGCGCAAAATAAGACAGCGGTGCCGCTTGTCGGTACTAAATTTGCATTACTTGTTTAGATATAAAGTTTTGTCACACACGTTTAACATTTTCTTTTCTTCTAATAGACTCGCATAACTTTCTACTTATTATAAAATCAATAAATTTATTATGTCTTATATTACTCATGTTTTTCAATGAAAAATATATCATGAATGTTTAAATTGTTTGTTAACAACTACAATGTAATCAAAATACATATAATAAATAATCAATCTTTTCATAAAGGTTGTTTATTGTTAATGCACGTTTCATACTTTTTTTTTATAATAAAAAACTATTTGAAATATATATTTTAAATTAATGATTACAAAAATATAAAATTTTATATTATGTTTACAATGTTACAAACTTTTATACTATATTTACAATTTTCACCTCAATAATTTTGAATTTGGTATCTTATTCTTTTAAAAATTAAATTGGATTGATCAATAAATCAATTAAAATTAAATTTTAATTAAAATAAAATAAAACTAAAAATTTCAGTATAAAATTAAAAAAAAATTAGAAATTAAATTTCTTAAAAGATAAGTTTTTATAAAATATATAATATTTTATACTTTTTCTTCATTTATCTCATAAAACTTATTTCAACTTTATATAATATTTTTTATTATATTTTTATCTTAATTTTATGATTATTAGTCTTTTATTTTTAAATATTTTATATTTTTTTATAATCGTAATTTTTATTTATCTGTGATAATAAATTTTGTTATTATTATATTTTTATACAAAAATTATTATTATTAATCAAATTATTATATTATTATATAATAAAATAATTATTTTATTAAATTTAGTTGAATTTTAATTTTCTAATAATTTTTATTAGTTTAATGATTAATCTAACTTTAAATACATTAAAATATATATTATTAGGTAGGTGCATTTATTATATTTTTTAATATTTTTTAATTATTTTTATATTAAAATGACTTTTTAAAAATATTACAATATAAATATAAATATATTATAATATTATAATTTAAATTATAAATAATAATAATAATAAATTAAATTTTAATTATCAATCATACGTCTAATATATTAATATATAAATATAATAATTTATTTAATAAAATATTAATTAATTAATTATAAAAAATTATGTATAAAAATGACTTATCATTCTATTAACTTTTTCATAAAACAAGTTAAAATTTACAATCTTTTGATTATAACCAGTTAGTACCATTTTTAATCAACTTTGCTTACAATTAGATATATAATAGTTGATATTTAATGTGAATAAAAGTAAAGAGACGGTGATTTTCAGTTTCTTTGAAAAATTACTTAACATTCAATAGGTGACATAGTTTTTAGAGTAAAAACAATGAATAATTATAAATCTTTCTCACACAAATTTTGTACTATTCCGCTTGTTTTTTATATGTATTTAATTTTATATTATTTTATTTCATATTTTATCTATGATATAATGAAAAATTAAAATAATATATATATATGATATTATATTTATTTTTTATTATAATATTTAATGTGTAGATAAATTATTATAATTTTTAGGATGTAAATTTAGCTTAAGGCTATTTTTTACATTCATATCTATCACTAAAAATATATAAAATTACAAAAAAAAAATTGTGAACGGAAATATAAATGATTTTACTTTATTTATTGATATCATTTATTTAAAATAGTGATTATATTTTCAATGATTACTTTTTATTTATGATATAAAATTTCAATAGAGTATTAAAAAAATTGAGTTTGAGTTTGGTAAAATTAGATGATATAAATTGAATTTTTAATTAATTATATTTTTTAATATTTAAATATAAAGAAAGTAACACTTAAATGTATGAATTTTTTTTTACAGTTAGGTTTATTTGAAGTCATTGATTAATGACAAAACAATATCCAGATGCAACTCCCCATTCAAATAGCGGAAGGGTTACTTTACTTGCACTTGTGAAAAATGTGTATTTGACACTAAAGATAACCATGAGACCCAGTTGCAACAAGAAAATATCATTCCGTTGCACCAGATCTTTTGGCCGACACTACCAATATTATTTTCTTTCTCTTTTCTTTTTTGTTTCCACTGCACTCACTAACCAAAAAAAAAAACCCCACCCTCTCTCACTCAGTCAGTTACAGTAAACAGAAGGGTGGCTGTATCCACTCTTTTGTTTATTCCTTCTTTATAAATAACGATGCAGAGGTTACCATTCAGATTCCCCCAATTCTCCTCATCTCTTCACTCTTTTTCATCCAAGAAAGAGAGTGTTAAGGTTGTAATTATATGTATATTATTAGTACCAGCACTTCATAAAGCAGAGATTCTGCTTCAACTCTCATCATCCCCATTCTTTATCCCTTGTTGTCATCAACAACATATATCATCATATTATCACACTACCATCTCTATTTCCCCTCTCTATTCAATTCCATTACCCACAGACTACCAAAGAATGGCTCTGTCCTCATATCACTCACACCCTTCTGAAACGCTCTTGGGCATCCTACTCTTCCTTGTATTCAGAGGTAAATTTGAATTCTTTTGAGAAACTAATAAAATGGGTGTTGGGAATCCATACATGGGAATAACCAAACTATACCATCTCATGGTTTCAAATGCAGGGGTTTCAGGGGCAACGTTTACTTTTGTGAACAAGTGCGATTACACGGTGTGGCCAGGGATTTTAGGAACACCAGAACTCGCAAGCACAGGGTTTGAACTTACAAAGGGTGGTTCCAGAAGCTTCCAGGCTCCGACCGGTTGGTCCGGTAGATTCTGGGGCAGAACCCGTTGCCAGTTCGACAATTCGGGCCTGGGGACGTGCGCCACCGCTGACTGCGGCTCCGGCGAGATCAACTGCAACGGCGCCGGAGCCTCACCGCCGGCGACGCTCGCTGAATTCACGCTGGGCACGGGTTCCATGGACTACTATGATGTGAGCCTCGTCGACGGCTACAATCTGCCGATGATGGTGACGGCGAGAGGCGGGTCGGGGTCCTGCGCCGCCACGGGGTGCGGCGAGGATCTAAACCGGGGTTGCCCGTCGGAACTGAGGGTGGAGGGCGGCGACGCGTGTCAGAGCGCATGCGGGGCGTTTGGGAAACCGGAGTATTGCTGCAAAGGCGCGTTTGGTAACCCTTCCACGTGCAAGCCTTCCATGTACTCACAAATTTTCAAGTCCGCATGTCCTAAAGCCTATAGCTACGCGTACGATGATGCCACTAGCACGTTCACGTGTTCCGGCGCTGACTACACAATCACATTTTGCCCCTCTTCTCCTAGGTATACAAACAATCAACCTTAGTTCCGTTGAGTCCCATGTTTTATGTTTCTCAACTTAAGGCTTTGCAAAAAACGGTTTTTGATAGTAATTTGAATTCATGTTAGAGTAAGATGCTTAATGACGACTTGTTTTGTTGTTTTTGCAGTTTAAAGTCTTCAACGGATTCGAGTTCAAAGGGAACGGATTCGGGGTCTGGGAGTGTGACAGGGACAGGTTCATCGGTGGAACAATCTGAATTAGCTTCTACTTCGTGGTTAGCCGACATGGCAACGGCGACAGGGGCCTCAACGCAAAGACGGCCTTTTGTCACTTCAAAGGTCTATTTTTGGGTGGTGGTTGTTTTCATTCTTTCTCTTTTGGTGGGTCCCTCCCTCTCCTAGTGAGGTGGCAACAGTATCCTTATCTATCTTTCTTCCCTGAGAAAGAGTACTATGGTGATCGCCAAACTATATCTGTAAATTGAAAGGTTATGGTATAAGAGTCTCAATCATTTGTTGGAGGTTATTTATTATTCTCTTGATCATGTTACAATGAGTTGTTTAATTTTTTACCTTTGAAATTGGAGGGTAGGGTATAGTGGGGAAGGAATGATTACAATGGGAAGAAATAAATTGTCACTTAAATCGAGTTAGTGGGTTTTGAGGCCCATCATCGACCTTTTCCTCACTAGGCCCTGCCACGAAATTGCCAAAACAAAATACGAATAGTAGAAAATGCAACCCACAATACCAACCCAAAATAACTAATAACTAAATAAATAGAGAAGAGGAAACAAAAATGGTCACTTGTTCCAAATGGCACTACAAGCATTTGCTTCTCACAATCTAAAGATGTATATTATGTGTATGAAACTTTAAATTCAGTTACAATATTTATGGATCAAACAAAGAGCAATATAATAATATAATAAAATTTCATTAGGATACTCACTTAAAAATAAGAAGATTCTTTGGTCCAATACTTTATTATGTATTACATAGAAAGTTGATGATAAAATCATCATCAGGAATTATTTTTAAATTAAGAAAATTTTCATGTTTCATGATGGTTAAATTACTATCGTACTCTTAATGAGTAATACGTTTTAACCATCATACATTCAATGAGTAATATGTATTAATTGAAATAGATGATAAATATTTTGTAACTTATGCTTATAAAAAAATAAACTTTAGGTGTATACAAATTGATATTCCAATTGAGATTCTAATATTATAAGTCAATTAAAAAATAATATAAGTGTGACTATTTATAAATGTGATGATTTAATTATTTTAAAATTAATAATCTTTAAATAAGAAAATATATGAAAAATAAGATGAATTATTTGAAAAAAAAAATAAAAGATTCATTTGACATAATGAATATATTAGTTTTAAAATAATATATATTTAAAATTATTATATATCTCAATTAATTATGGTATGAGCAAAATAATATAAAATGAAAATGAAATTAATATTATTATATTTTTTCTTTCATATAATATAGTATTAACTATTATAAATGATGTTGATGATAAAATAAAATAAAATCAAAGTCCATTAATAATTATTGACAAAAAATGATTGGACAAAAAGGGGAAAGATAAAATAAAAAGAATTAAACTCTTTTAATAAAAAAAATGCTTTTTAACTTGTAATTAAGACTGAATGACAAATTTTTGAGATATAAAACACATTGAGTATTTATCAATTTTTCACCATATCTAATATTATTTTTTAATGACTTGTAACAAATGTATGTACTTTTATGTATTTAATTAATCTTATTCTACATGAATAATTTTATTATATCTAATTTACATCCTATCACAAAAATAATATTTATATAATTATTTTTCCTAATGATATAAATTATTGTGATTATTTTGATTAAGTTTATTTATAAATTTAAGAAACCAAAATGTACGTGGTATAATATTGTGAGTATTTGATTTTAAAAGAAGGGAATATAAATGATCTAATTTGTCATGAATGTTGTTTATGTTTAGAGTTCTTAAGACAATTTAATTGACGCTTGAATTTGAGTTGAAACATTATGTAATAATAAAATTTTGTTTGCATTATAAATTAAATATTTAAATAAAATTATTTTTATAGTATCTATTGTTTATATATATATATATATATATATATATATATATATATATATATATATATATATATATATATATTAGTTTCAAGTGATTAAGTTAATATGAAATATTTAGGTACGTAAACATTTTAAATGTTATATATGATAAACCATATACATTATTAAAATCTTTAAAATTTGTCTTTAAATGTAAATAAATATTATTTTTAGAATGAAGATTATTTTCAAGTACCATTCCACAATGTTAACTATATGATATTTATTGTAATATATGATATTTATTGTAAATTTATTAGTAAGATATTTTTCTTCATCTATATGAAGATGATTACTATCAAACATGTATCTTATTATCTTGATAAATGAAATTATTTTATTTAGATGTTTCAAAATTATACCTAATGAATTATAAAAATATAATTTTTTGTCTGCAAAACTATAATTTATTTGTCTTATCCTCTGATTGATTATAAATAAAATATTTATTCATAAGTAGGAATACCATATTTTTATAACCATACGTAAAACAAACAATAATATATCAAATAAAGAAAAATTTGTAATAATATATGTAAGAAATTTGTGGTCATTTTTTATAAAACTGACAACAATAATCATATATAAAAACATGTGTATCGTTAGTTGAAATAAATATATATTAAAGAAGATAAAGTAAATCATAATTTTTTCAAAAGAATTATAACATAAAAATTTATGAGAAACTTAATAAATTTATTTACAAAATCATTATGATAATAATTTACGTTAAGATGAGAAATTAATATATTTTAGAAATATTTTAATCAATGATATATATATTTTTTCTTTATTGAGTTTTTAACTCATGTAATTTCTCTTGGTAAGGTTTTAATATATATATATATTCTTTAATAATTGGACATGTATTTTATATCTATAAATAAAATAGGGTGAAATATAAAAAATGGGAATATTTATTCTTTTATATATATATATATATATTATGATATTATTTCATAGTAATTATTTTATTGTTTAGTTATGTGTTTTTTTATTTTTCTTATTTTAATGTTATAAAATGTAAAAAAAAATTATAATAATTTTTATATTTTATATTTTAATATTAATCTTTAGAAAAACAAATATAATAAAAATACTTATCATTAATATTATGATTAATGAATTTACAATAGAGATCTAACTAATAATATTTTGAGTTTTGTATACAAATTATAAATCGGGTAAAAATATTTTAATCAAAATTAATAAAAAAATCCATAAATAAACCTTGATTTTCATTTTAAATAAAAAAACTCAATCTAAACTTAAATAATTAGATTAAATTAAAAATCTAAAAGTACGAATTTTAATTAATTTTGTTTTCACCTCCACAGTTTTGCAAAAAGTAAAATAAAAATGGGTAACTTTGAGTGAAATTAACTTTATCGTTTGTGTTTGTTTCTGAGACTGTATGAAAAAGTGCGGAGAAAAAGATTTGTGCAGATTTTCCGTATTTCAAGACAAAAAAATCATCAATATAATAAAAAAACTCACGTTCTGTTTCCACTCCACCACACGTTGCAAAGATTCGCGATTTCAGAATATATCTCGGATTAAAAAAAATGTTTAAAATAAATAAATAAAAATTAAAATAATAAAAAAGTTATTTTACTTTTTACTTATTTTCACCGCTTTTATTTTAATCTAAAAAGTTTCCCTTTCCACCATTTTTTTTTCTTTATTTTATTTACTTAAATTCACCTAGGTTAGATCATAAAATTAAACAAGCCTCAGATACTCCAATCAAACACATTAGTTATTATTTTTTAAAATTTGTAATTAATATTGTGATTTCTCCCTTTAATTGATTGTATAGTACTTTTTAATATATTAATATTAATATGTAACAAAAGCACGAACATAAATACCGTATGTTTTTTAAGTAGATAATAATTGACACTTAATTACCATTTTTTTTCTAAAACTCACTGTTTAAATGTATATCATACTTTTTTATAATATATCATATATATTTTTAACTTATTTTTATACATATTATAATTTTTTATTTTTCAGTTTTTATTTTATTATTATTTTAGTATTAATTTACTTTTTTTAATAATTGGTTAAATGATTTAAGTAATATAATGCTGGTATTATTTAAGGATAGAACAAGCAAAAATATTGAATATTTAATTTAGCAAATTGTTTTAATAGTTAATTAAAAAAAATACAAATAAAACATTGATAAATTAGAGAGTGTATAACTGGATATGAGGAGTAAATCTTGTTTATATAAATAAATTAAAAGTGATATTAAAAAAAAAAAAAAAACTCAGACCATATTTAATATTGTAAATGTTTGGTTTCTTTTAATTTTTATCGCCTACAGAACCTGTTAAATTCAATTATTTGAATGATAACTGAAAGGGAGATATTTTAGGAAGATATTAAAGGGGAATCTGGAAGATAATGGTTGTAGCTTTAGGATGAATGTTGCCTTATCGTCCACAAAAAGCTTACTTATCTATCAGGATTTAATTGGCAGAGAAGAACATCATAAACAGCTCAGAAATGAACTTGAATTTTCAAACCCTTTTCAAGCGTCATGTTGAAGGAAACCTTGCCTTCTTTCTTTTCATCGAACTGAGAAGGATAGAGTGTTAGGATCGAGCAGCTACCACTGCAGCTAAAAGCTTATAGCATTAATCAGAGCGTAGCTTCTTTTACTTTAACGTACTTAGCATGCGATTCAATTGTGACTCGGCCCACCTGACCTTCGTCACAGGACAATTGATGTATGCTAGTGGTAAGCGCTCGATCCTAACATAGAGAAAGTGAGAAAATTGAATTGACAATTCAGATCGATGGGGCTTTTTGCATCATCATGAAAGAGGGTGTTCATACAAAAACACTTGATTGGGGAAGGTGTCATACATTTGATTGGCTGACTGCAGATGAAGCTCTATCAAACTTCTTTTTAGTTGTTGATTATAATTTATTAAAATTATAGATTAGTTTTTTTAAATAAAAAACAAAAACATAATTTTGTTGCTGCAATTTTACTTAAAGGTATATTAAAAAAAAAAAAAAACTTCTTTCAAATTGGTTAATGATTTTTTACTAAAATGTTCTTCATTAATTTACAATCTTCTAGTGAATAAAAGATAAATAAAGTAAATTTTATGTTCATTATTTGAATTGAATTATGAAGTACCTGAAACTTATTTTCCCAGTGAAAAACATCAATGTGCATGCATGCTAAAGGTAAGAAAATTGAAGGCTTTTGATATCGCATGCAACATGAGATGGTTGATAAACGCTTTTGCTTCACATTTCAGACACCACTTGTTATAAAAAATGAAGTTACAGGGATGCCAAAACTAGAGGGATTTAATTTGCCACTCCCTTTGATCACAAGAGATTCCATTTCAGGTTTTAAGAAGAGAGGGGTTGTGAGTGAGTGCTATTGATCCTTTCATCAAATAGGATCTTTCGGCCTTTGAGATAAAAACCCACATGACCAAGAACACAAAGAAAAGAAACAAATCCTCTTTTGGGCCCAAGATATATGAAGATGGCTTATGTCTATTTCTATCAGTGTTTTTTTCCTTTCCAATTTCCGCTTTTCCTAAATGTTTCTTCACGCCAAAGGCAAATGCCAACTTGTTCTTTACAAACCATGCATAAAATTGCAGATAGTATTTCCAAACTCTTTCACTATAATATTCAATAAATCTTAGTTACCTTCTATAATCGTTTGAATATGTATTTATTGATTTAATAATAACTATATGCGGTATAATACTATATACTATAAAGATATCGATGCACGATGTAACCCTACAAGTTTTACTTTATTTAAACTCGTCATGATACGTATCTAAAAGCTTCGTATTTGTTACTTTGAAACTTTAAGATAAGTAAACTTTTTTCTTTCAAAGATTTATCACATACCAAATCGAAAACTATATCACCTTAACCTGGACAAATATCCACTAAGTTGCAACTCTCTCACCATTCTACATAACGGAGACAACAATATTCAAATAATTTTATAAAAGCAATAAAAAAACTTTAGCTTTTTTTTTTTTTTGGATTAAAAAGGAGGTTTTGTGTTTTAAACCCTGGAGTACCACTATAATTTGGAGTCAAATTCATTCGATTAAGGTGAACTCACAGGTATGCTTCATATTCATTTGAGCAACTTGTATGATGTAACATGAGAGAGCAGTGCTTCCCACCGAGAATGTAACCCCAGACAATAGATTGTTATATGTTGTCTAAAATACATATGTTATGTTATACGTTAGATATCTCTATAGGAACTTTTTAACTAGAATTATTTAAGAATAAAATTAAATATTTTATTATAGGTTACACAATTGAGTTATTTAAAATATAGTCAAAATTATTTATAAAAATAACTTTCTTCTAATTTTAAACCATTTTTTTCATTTTTAAACAATTTAGATATGATACTCATCCTAAAATATTTATTTTTATTTTTGAACAATTCTTAGTAACAACTCTAGTAAGAGTCAAGAAATTAGGAAAGTTGTCCACAGGATATATGCAAAATAATTTTTAAGGGTAATTCTGATTAAAAAAAAAGAAGACTATTTTCACTGTTGGAACTTCTTATGTTCCATATAAAAATGTGTGAGGAACTCATTTGGTACTATCTTATATTACTATTGTGAAAAACACAAGCCCAATTGTCTTAACCAGGAAGGTTGATTAAACTGGAAAATGAATATTAAAAATACACTGGGTAGAGTTTTTAATTGCCAAAGTTGATAATTATTATTAACACTATATAGTATTTCAAAAAGCGTCCAATATTAATTCTTAGCCCATTTTAACTCAAGGTCCGTTACTCTTTCGGCCCATCGTTTTTTCACAGGTCTTAAGTGGGTTGGGCTGGAAAAGGGTGACAAAAAAGCCAATGAAAAGATGCAGGTGTAAATTCCATGTTATTATTTTTTTATTTGTACTTTTCTTTCTTTTTTTGGATATTTTCATTTTTTTTTTTGTATTTTCATCACTATTGCATGAGATTCTCCTCTTACTTGAATGCCTCTATTGTGAAACTAGTGAAGGAACATCATTTTATGAATTATCTATTTCACTTAAAAGAAAAAAGTTGAGTTAGAGATAAATTATTGCATATATTAAAATGTATAGTTTGGGGTCCGTAATAGTTACATCATAATCTCTGCTTAATTTTGTTTGATTTGTAAAAACTATAATATAACGAACTCTACTTAATTCATTAAAAAATATAATTTATTAATTTGCTGGAAAAGAAATAACTTTCTTCGTTCGTTAAACTTGAAAGATGAAAGTGTATCGCATAAATTTTGTCTAAAATATTATATCTTCAACTTCAAGAATTAAGAAGATATTGGTAGTGAAAATATTCTAGACCACAGTCTCGTGACAATTTATAAATAATTAATTTAAAAAAATATATATGACATTAGTTAATAACATTCTGATTGAATTTAAGTCACGGAGTTTATCCAAGTGATGCAAATGCAATACAAAGAGCAATTTCACACTGTGAAATTTGGCAAGTGATGTTACAGCGGGCCACGCCCACAGAAAGCAAAATGGTATATTTCTAAACCGAAACAGCTGCTGCAGCAACCATGTACCAGCAGCATAGTATGTTTTCTCGTATCTTAATTCAACGACTTTGTTTTCTTTTTCCTGGGAAAGTTAATTTCAAAGGCTTAAACCATGGAACAGAGCATCCTGATACAGAGGTTTGATCGGTCAAATCCACGTGCTGTGCTGAATACACATAAATAACGTGTTTGTGCTCAGCTTCTATGGGACTTGAACATGACATTTTCGGTAGCCCTGTTACCTCGTTGGTCTGTGTTTCTTCTTTTGCTTCTTGTCTTGTGTAGATCAGGAGCAAAGGTTGTCACCATTGATGCGCGTGCAGCCAATGATCTCATCCAGACAGGTTCTATTTATCTTGATGTTAGGTAACTCTTAATATTCAATCAGTATGTTTTAAGGAGTTTTGTTGTTTTCTCTTGTGTAATTGGTCATTTTTAGTGTTTGATAATGTATGTGAAGATAAATATCTTGGTAAATAATATAGGACAGTGGAAGAGTTTCAGAAGGGGCATGTGGATGCAGATAACATCGTTAACATTCCATACATGTTGAATACACCTAATGGTAAGAACCCTTTTAACACCTAATAATAACTGAGACTAGTTTGGGATGCGTATATATCTGTCTCTTTATTTATCAGTCTGTTAGGTCAGTTGTGGCTAAAATTTTTGTGAATGGGCAGGCAAGGTGAGGAATCCAGACTTTTTGAAGGAGGTTTCGTTGGCTTGCAACAAAGAAGATAATCTCATTGTGGTAACTATCCTTTTTTTCTTGCTCCTTTTTATTTATTTTTTTCATTCAAAACACATGCTTCAATTTCAACTGGTTAATGCTAGTTAAATTCAACATCTGCTTATATTTTGTATGAATCTGCATTTCAGGGTTGTCAAATTGGGGTGAGATCTTCATCTGCAACTGTTGATCTTCTGTCTGATGTAAGTTGTTACTTCATGTCAACTTCAGTATACTTATCATCTCAAATTAGTGTTGAACTTAAATATATAGTTAAGGCTCTAAAATATCTGAACATCACTCTAGCTATAAAAGTTTTCCTTTATTTACACTTTTGACAATGGCTGAAAAAACTAACTTGTATTGGTTTGATTTGAACTGATAGGGTTTTAAGAATGTGAAGGACATGGAAGGAGGTTATGAGGAATGGGTTATAAACAAGTTTCCAGTGAAGATATCATTAGCCAAAGAGGAGCTTTAAATGATAGATTATCAACTTGACTCTCTTTCTTCTAAATGTGCAACTTCATAGAGTTCATTATTCTTTCTCTTTGTGCATATAAAATGGACTCATGATCTGATGGTTGTCTTAGTATTTAACTTGAAAAAACTAAATTGGTTTCATATCAAGGTCCTTGAACCGTTTTATTTGATGTCTATAAGTGTTGTGTCCTTTATTATCTGCTGCATTACTTGCCTTGCTAGAATTTCAGTTGTAGTGACCACAGTTTTTCTTGAATAAAATTTTGTATCGGTTCAGAAATACTGCAAAATCGGCAGATACCAGTATTTTTTTTTTTTCCTTTCAAGAATGCAAGTTTTTCCTCCCTGAAAAGCAAAAATGAACATATTTGCCAATACTCCCTATCAATTGTGAAATATGTCATCAACTCAACTTACTAGTAAATTCTACTAATATTAATAACCGTTTCTAACAAGAAAAAAAATAAATCATAACGTTCAATTAATTCGATAAAGGTTTTTTATTTTTATTTTAATTATTTGGAGTTAGAACGACATGACATAGTTGACGAGTTCAATCATTCACACCAACCGCTACAACGTGATGGAAAATAAGGACAAGATTTAGAGACATCGGGACAATGGACCTTATTGTTCCTCAATTAATATGAAAATAATAAATGCGTTGTTCAACTTCAAACGTAGATGTAAGATTTGATGAAGCATTATGGTTTGCTGAGAGTAGTTATTTATTTATTCATTTATTTTCCACTTTCTTTCTTCATCAAGATCTTGATCCAATTCTAAACATGTTCGATCTACGTATTCTTATTGAAAACCAGTGACCATAACGTTGTGTCGTTGTTCAAGCGTGACCATGGTACAGATCCACTTGAAGTAACTGGTTAACCGAACCTGACATGGTTAGGAGATCAGTTAATGGGACCATTATTCTCAACTAGTTCGTGGCAGCACATGCATGTGCAAATTAATTTTCTGAGGACATAGTCTCAACATTTTGCCTCAGCAAAGCCACCACCAACTCTATCTCTGCATTAATGGTCCAAACTATGCTGTGCATTGAAGAGACAATACACACAATAGGGTTTTCTGTTCTTGTCTGATGGTTTTATTTTTTATTTTTTTCATTATAAGCCCTCTTGAAGGACATAATTTTCATGACAGTGCGTGTTGTTTTGAGGACGAATATCGGACATGGGGGAAGAAAGTGGCGAAGGAAGATCCTTAGCTGAAACCCCCACTTATGCCGTGGCAACTGTGATCACTGTCCTTGTTTCTCTTAGTTTTTTGTTTCAAGGCACGTTAAAAAAATTGGTAAAGGTACGTTAGATTATCTTTGGGTTTTCTCTTCTTCCATGTCTCACATCTATAGGTTTCTTATACGTTGAATCATGTCACAGTGGTTGGACCAAACCAAGAGAAAATCTCTGCTTTCTGCTCTGGAAAAGATCAAAGAAGGTAGGGAGTTGTAACCACAAATGGTTTCATTAGTATTTTTCTTTGTTATATATATAGTGTTTGGACTAGTGAAACTTACTACTGTAAATTTTTTGAATGAGTTTTAAGCAGAATTGATGCTTTTTGGGCTTCTGTCATTGCTGATGGGTCATTGGATTATTTTTGTGGCAAAGATTTGCGTTAAGTCATCGGTATTAAGCAGCAGATTTTTTCCGTGCGCACTGGAAAAGAATTCTGTGAAACGTGTTGTCTGGTTGACTTCAGAATATTCAAATAAAACAGTTGTCAAAGGGAAAGTGAATGATGGCTTGCGTAGTTATTGCCCAGTGGTAGTTGTCCTATCCCTTCCAGTGATATTTCGATTGTAATTTTGCTTAGCTTTATTTAGCTCACGGTTGGTAATGCAAGTTGCAAGCAAACTAATCATTCTCAGTGATTATATTCTGATCAATAGTTCAAGTCTAAAGTGGACTCCACAAATGCCAATTTCACTGAAAACTCATCACTTTCTTCGCAGGGTCACGAATCATTGGCTTCTTATGAAAGCCTTGAGCAGCTTCATCGCTTTGTGTTTGTTCTTGGGGTCACCCATGTTACCTATAGCTTTCTTGCTGTTGCCCTGGCCATGATCAAGGTTACAATAGTCATGAATAAACCTTCTTCCTATTGTAATTTTGTTGTTTAGGCACTTATTTTCTTATTTTGGAGTCTATTCAGATATATAGCTGGAGAACATGGGAAAACGAAGCAAAGACTATAGCTGTACAAAGCATACAAGGTTCTGATATCTGAGTATCCGATAATTGCAAATTTCAGATGAGACGAGAATTATTTTGCAAAGCATTAAGCTTGAAATTCTTAACATAATAATCCCTTTTGATCAAATTGTCGTAGTTTAGATACTGCACAAAGTACATCAAGCATAAGATTGAGGCGGCTTAATACATTCATCTTTCACCATGCATCGCATCCTTGGAGTCATCACAAAATTCTTGTTTGGCTGGTACTCTATGCAGTCATTTTGTTCTGTCTTATAATTCTCTTTAGGCAATAAGATATTTGAAATAAGAAATTTTGTATCTACTCATGGTTTATTACTACATGTTGTTCTTATTTCATTGTTTGAGCTAAATATTGATGGAATGAATTGATTTCACTAATCATATCTTAATCCCAAAAGGAAAAAATCAATCCTAGCATACTTCTGTTTTGGATAAAACTATATTTTTTAACTATAGTAACTGCTCAATTAAAATTTCTTTCCGCAGAACATGTTCGGTAAAGATTGTTTCCAAATTCCAACAATAGATGTGTACAAATGTCCTGTATATTTGCTAGTTACCTTAATTTGTCTCCCGCATTACTTTTCAAAAGCAGCATGCCAGCAAAATGGAATGTTTTTTGTGTCCTTCATGTATAGGTTTGTGACACTTTCAGTAGCAATTTCCTTGCCTTCATAGAATAATGATGAACGTGTATGCAGCTATGCTTCAGCCGCCAATTTTGGAGTTCCATCCACCGAGCTGATTACATGGCATTGCGCTTAGGCTTCATTACTGTGAGTAAATTTTTTGTCGCGGCATACCAGTCTCTTCCATCGAATAAAACTATGTAGATAAGCCATAAGTCCATAGTTTTGTACTGAATGACAAGTTGATGGAGGAAATTAATGGAGATATTGAATTTTTTCCCCTGTAGTACATGTTATATAGCCTGTTGTACAATCTCATCTAACTGAAAACAAAGAAAGGAAAGTTAATTAGTCATGCATGACTCATGAGTGAACCGGTATTACCTTTTTCCCCTGCTTTCTAATTGTGCAAAAGGAATGGGGTACTGATTAACTGAAAATGACAATTTAAATTTACTAGCTAATAGTCTTCATTTTCTTCTTTGTTCTTGTGTTCTATAGAACCATGATCTTCCCACAGCATACAATTTCCACAACTATATGCTTCGAAGCATGGATGAGGAATTTAGTCACATAGTTGGTGTTAGGTACTATTTCTTTATTCAGATGAATTTAGTGGCTTGATTTTTTTATCATATTAAATTTGTTACTGTCATGCTAATTAGATTTTGAAGAAGTCTAGCTTAATTGAATAGGGGATATTCTTCATTGTTCTGGTTCGTGAAAACAAATTTGATAGTTTCTGGACTTGTTTTGCAGTGTACTTCTCTGGGTATATGCCATCTGCTGTATTTTCCTAAATTTTCACGGTAAGATTTATCTTAAGAGTGAGACTTAAATGTGGTATTGGTCATGCATGAATCTCAATGAGCTTCATGTGTGACCCAAAACAAAATATAAAATAATGAGCTTCTTGTGACGATGGAAACTATTTTTTTTTTTTTAGATGTTTAAGCATGTTTATGGTCTTGCTTAACATTGGCATAGTATTCTGTTTTTGAAATATTATGGTAGTTTTTTTTAATGAACCTAGTCTGAAACTGAACTTTGTAATTTTCATTCAGGTAGCAACTTTTACTTTTGGCTTTCCTTCGTTCCAGCAATTGTAAGTCCTGATATTGTGTGCTAAGGCTTTTCCATTCACCATATACTAGTAGCTACATTTCGCTAACATTTTTTCTTTTATTGACTTGCTTTTTAGTTGATCCTTATTATTGGTACTAAATTGCATCGAGTGGTAGTAAAGTTGGCCGTTGAAATAATAAGTAGTCGCCCAAATATGAAACCTCACCAATTTAACTTAAGAGATGAGCTCTTTTGGTTTGGAAAGCCCAGGTTCCTGCTACGGTTAATTCAATTGATATCCTTCTTGGTAAGCAATATTGTGCTTCCATTTTGATTTTCATTGCTGATACACTTAATTTCCTTTTCCCTGTTTTTATATTTCAGAATGCATTTGAAATGGCTTCGTTCTTATGGTCTCTGGTAAGAAACTAACATTTTTCCATACTGCAATACATAATTCTAGCCTCTATGTAGTAGATAGTGTACCATATAAGTATGTTAGTTCTCCAACACCTTCCATGCTGCCACATCTTTGTTTGTAGCTTTATGATGGACTAACCATATTGCCATAGTTGATTGTTATTTCTTTTGTTTTGGGTTAAAAGTGAAAACTTGGCCAAAATGGGATACTTGCATAATCTTTAATTGCTGCCTTTATTTTGGGTTCAGTGGGAAATTAAAGATCCTTCTTGCTTCATGAGCAACCGAACGTTTATAGTGATTCGCTTGTCATTCGGGTATGGGTTACTTTTTGTCAACGTTCTTACTCTTTTTACAGATTAAATTGAATCACAAATCCACCAAAATTAGTATCAACTTTTTCTCTTTGGTTGCCACAGGGTCATCTCCCAAGTCTGGTGCAGCTTTATAACGTTTCCTCTCTACGTTATAATCACACAGGTCAATTTCTTGTTCTTTCGTTGGAGATAAAAAATCATTTTGTAGCCTGCACTGCTGAACCTAACAGTTAATCATCGGTTGAGAAGTTCTATCAACACACTACTTGATACATTCACGATTTTGTAGTTTATTGAAAATCTCGGGGTAGCATATAGTTCCACTTGAATATTTATACTTTTGATTCTTTAGGCACTTGTAGTTTCCTAAATTTTAATATTTTGGTATGCTACCAGCACTTTTCATAAATTGTTTGGACTATTTGATTCTTAAGATAAATATCAATACCTCTGATATAGGTAGGTTAAATATTTATTGCTGACACCTAACAACTGAGGTCCTTGACACAGCTTCCTTTATTCTTCCTCCAGCAGTGTGCAATTGCACTCTCACATTTAATCCCTCCTAAAATCTTGGTTATGTGAATGCAGATGGGCTCAAGGTTCAAGAAGACCGTGGTCTCTGAAAATGTGAGAAAATCACTCTCTAAATGGCAGAGAAGAGTGAAGGAGAAACAAAGTTCCTCTTATGCAGTCCTTGCTGCAGCATCACCAACATCAATAAGTTCTTTTATCTCTGGAAGTGATAATGCCTTAATCAGTGAGGAAGGAAGCTCCTCTGGGACTAAAGATATTTATCTCTCTTATCTTGATCATGGGTCAAGGACTCAAGCAAATGCATCATTTTCAAGTTATGAAAATGATTATCATGATCAAGATCATCATCATCATCATATAATCGATGACTTATCTCCCCCTCCTGTGTCTTGAGATGGCTTTCCTTTTGCTGTGGAAAGTGTGATGAATTAAATCTAAATATTATTTCTTCAAAAGCTATTTCAGCTAAACATCATTAAATGAAAGATCAATAGATGGAATTTAAATAAAAATTTATGATAAAATTAATTTTCATACTTTTGTAGGTGAAACACAAAAATAATATTTTCTTATTGTAGAGAATAACATATGTGTTTTTTTATTTTTTGAACTAAATTCAATGTTAACCCCATTATAAAATACACAGTTTATTTGAAATGACCTGGCAAAATATACAGATAATAAAATGAATTAGGTTTGACTACCGACCGTCTTAAAATTGGTGGATGGGTTGATAGTTTTAATTTGTGAACTTGTTTTGATCTATCTCACCTAGGAATGACAATTAAATCTCTACCCATGGGAACCGATCTGTCTTCGACCCGAGTTTGATAGAAAAAAATTAAGTTAACGGGGTCGGGGGTGAGTTCGGGTTTTTTCGTTTTAAAAAGTCGGGGAGGCGGAGATCGGTAATGTAGTCTCCACTCTTGTCTCATTACCGTTCCCGTCCAGACTTTATATTTAAAATTTAATTTTAAAATATTAATATTTTAAAAGGATTTTTTTTTCATTACATATATAAGATCTTTTTTTATATATATTTTACCATTTTTTCTTTTTTTTTTTATCTACTTTTTAATTCTTTTTGTCTTTTTATTTTTATTTTTTATATCAACTAGTTTATTACATTATTCTTTTTCTTTTACCTTTCACTTTTTTGCATTTTCTTAATCTCTCCAATCAACTTGTTTTTCCAATATTTTCAATCAGATTTGATGAACACAAAGTTAATTTTTTGTTTTTTTGTTTTTTTTTTAAAATATTTTACATAAAAATTAGTAGTAACTAATATTATTTATTTATAATTTATCTTTATTAGGTTTTATTATATCATATTTTTTGGAGCTTATTATTCTTATTTGTCATATATCAAATTTTATCTTAATAAAATAATTGTATTTTAAAAGATTAAAAAGAATTGATAATTTAAACTTTTATTACTTTAAATTAATTAAATAAGAATTAACTTATAAAATATTTTCTTATAAATTATATATTTCATATTTTTAAATGATAATTTAAAAAAATTAACTTTTATATATATATATATATATATATATATATATATATATATATAATCAAACGTTGAAATATAGTATTATAAAATATTATAATAATAATGTTATAAATATTCAAATATTTCAATATAATAATAATAATAATGTTATATATATTTTATGTATAAAGAATAAATAATTAAATATTTCTTTTATATACATATTTTAGTATAAATATAATAAGTTAAAATATATATTTATTTTATAATAATTACAAAATATAAATACTTTTTTATGTATAAAAAATACATAAAAATAGTGAAATTAATTTATTATAAATATAATTATTTTTTTAAAATAATGTAATTGGGAGGGCAGGAAAATCCAAAATCCAATAGGGACAAAGATGAAGACTTAATTTCTAATCTCGATAGGAATCGAGAGTAGTGACAGTTAAAAAAGTCGGGTATGGGAGGTCGAGGAGGCAAAACCCGCTCCCGTCCCGCCGAGTTGCCATACCTAGTCTCACCTAGTTTGCTAACCCAATAGGCTAAGAACAGAGAGAACATACCTATTTTTAAAAAATATTTATATATTAAAAATAAAATAAAAATATTATAATTAAAAGTATTATATATTTTTTGTGTTACGTTGTTGAAATATGTAACTATATTACAATATTATAATTTAAAGTATAAATACTAATTGGTTAAACTTATAAAATTTATTTAATAAATATATTAATTAATAAATAAAAATTATTAATATAATTAAAATATATTTTTTTAAAATTAATATAAAAATATATTATCACACTAATCTTTTAGTTTGTCAATTTGCACTTTGGCAGGGCGAACATGATCTATATTTCATCCGCGTTATAGCAAGTCAGTCCGTTCTATCTTATTTTTGATAGAGCTAAAGACAAGCTATTGAAGTTGGAATTACCGCAGTCGCTGACACTAGACTTGCCCTCCAATGGATCCTTGTTAAGAGATTTAGATTGTACTCATTTCAATTACGAGATTCAATGAACCCGGTATTGTTATTTATTGTCAACTGACCATGACTAGCACCAGGATCGGCACCAACGCACCAGGATCAGCACCACCAAAATTGATCGTGGCACCATGCACCAGCAAAAACTGACCAAACCAATTACTACCAAACTGACCGAGACACCATGCACTAGTCAAATCTGACCGAGTCAATCACCACCACGAAATAACCTATTTTATCACATTTTATCATCTGTATGTTACATCCCACTAATATTTTATCACAGTTATGATAATTTTTTACAGGTGCAAATTTTAGAAAATAACTTTTTATACATTTTATAAAACAAAATGTTATTATATTTTATCTATGTTTGTTATTTTATATTATTTAAAAGAGTTTAAAAATATAAAAAATAAAAGGATAAATAATTAAATTAATTTTTTTAAATATTTTGTTTAGATATAAAATATTAGTTTAAATAGGATAATTTATACTATATGCTAAATTTAAAATATTAAATAATTTTATAATAATCTTAAAATAATTTATACTATATGCTAAATAACTCAAAATATTAAAATTCCCTAATAAAATGTATAAAAAAAATATTAAATAATTTTAAAATATTTAATATTTTAAAAATAGTAACTAATATTTAATAATTTAAAATATAAAAATTGACCCATTTTAAAATAATATTATAGATAAGAAAAATTGATAATAAAGAGAGACAAAAGGAGAAGATTCAGAAGATATAAAGGAAAAAAAAAAAAAGATAGAGAGGAAATATACGAAAGTGAGAAGAGCGTGAAAGGAAAAAAATTACAGACAAAAGAGAATAAAGTTTTGATGTTTATATTATTAAATGGATCAAATATGTTTTTAGTTATTAATTTTTATTTATTTTCCATAAATTTTAATTTTAATTTTTTGTTTTTACTTCTGGATGTTTAAGACATCACCAATTAGTCATGTATTATTTAAAGTAACAAGTTAATAAATAGTATTTATGTGTTTATTTCTCTATTTATCTATTAATCATATTTGAATAAATATTAGAAAAAAAATTAACTTGTTCAATCAGTATAATGTTTTAAATCATGCGTATGTAATCTACAGATTTGAGAATCTTTATAAAATAATCAAAAGACAATATTATTGGATGATAAATAAAATAAAATTGTTATTAAATATGAAGTAATAATAATTTTTTGATTTAATCTTACTTTTCAACAACTAGTGCAAACTGACCATGGTATATATAATATCATAATGAGGAACTGTGGTATATATGTAAAATCTATCTTTGGTGTTTTTTAGTCATTATTCTACGTATTATATAATTATGATTATTTATAGAATTGTTATATGTCACATTATATTGTTAAGCTCCCTTCATTTTTCATTTGTGTTATACTATTATTCTTTTTTTTCCTTTTCTCCTTCCCTTTTTGTCCTTACCAAGGTCTTCTCATTCTCTCATATACTCTTTGTATTGTGTGCCCTCCTCCTCCTTGTTGCATTGTGTCTCTTCTCCTGCAAGTCATGTCCTCCTCTGTGGTGTAGTCATACTTGGTGATAGGTGTGTGGTGGTGGTTGTTCGTTGTTGCAATCCTTTGATATTACTTTTGTTCTCTATAAGAGATGATTTATGATATCGAAGTACAACTTTTGTCCAACTACATGGATATGAAAATATGTTAAAAAATTTATTTTATCTTTATCTAACTAACTTTTACATGATTAACATAGTTAATAATGATAAATTTAAAGACAATTAATGGGTGGATGGATAATTTTTTTTACCCTCAACTCATTTATCTAATGGGAAATAAAAAAATTCAAATATACATTACTAATACCTTTTTATTGTGGGAAAATGAAATATTTTGTGTTGAGTAAGTAATAATAAGTATTTTATGTTTTATTCATGAAACAATTATGTTTTAATGTAGTTTTCATTCAGAATTACTTACTTATCATATTTATGATTGTATGGTTTTGTTTATCGAAAAAATATCTTATATTCATTAAGTTAACATTAGATTAATAATAAAAATTGATTATTTTGAATATAACATTATGCTTATATCATGATATTTTAACTAAGTTTTTATACTATTATTGCTTATACTAATTATAATATAATGAATAATAGACCAAGTGGAAGATAAAAACTCATATAGTTGTTACTTAATGTATTTAAATCTCATATTTCATTTTTATTTTTATGAATAAAATAATTTAATTATGTTTTTTTAGTTACAATGTAGTAAACAAATTAAAGAATATATACGTGATTATTACATAAAACAATAAATGATGACTATTGTACAAGAAAGAATAAAAAGAGGTTGAGATAAGGTGAAAAATAATTCTTTCAAAAATTTGAATCAAAATAAGTTATATAATTTATGTATGATGAATACATTTTATTTGTATTTTTATCAATATAATTTGTATATAATTATCTTATTCAATTATTATTTTTAGCATAATTTTAGTAAATACTAGTTAAATAACCTATATTGAAAATTATAATTAAATTGAATATTTATACCTTGATGCAATATTGATAAATTAACGAACAAAAACAAATTTTAACTATAAGGATTCACAAGTTTCTTTTAATCCAACAAATTATTCTCATAAAACTCATTTTTAATTTGTCAATTCTCTCAACAAAGACCCAATCCATTGAAAAAAAAAAAGTGCAAACTTTTAATAAATTAATTTAACTAACTATTTTACTCAGTGAGATACAATGTAACTCAGAGTGCAATGTTGCATAGCACACTTCTATAGAATTATCAAATCAAGTTCCAATGGATCTAATTAGTTGATCATGGATCATGCGCATTTCTATAGTGTTCGATGTTATATAAATAGGTTTAG